GGTGTGAACATTCTTGGAATCTTTGGTCAAACAGAACTCTTTGGTTTGTTTAATTTAAATATTAAAATCGGGAAGTTGGGTCCAGCTCCCATGTTGAGCTTTTGACAGAGACCAAAATATCTATTTTATTTCTATATTTTTGTGGATATTGAACACGTGACTATTTTCCGAATTAAGTAACTTAGATGTGAGTATCACGTGGGATTTCCGTGGGAACTATTTCTTTAGTACAACGTTAGTAATTGCAAATAACATGTGGTGATTAAAACACATGTAATCCCTATTTTTATCACTCTATCACTTCAAGATATATGAATAAGACGTTTAGCAAAAAAAAAAGATATATGAATAAGACTGTAAAAAAAAATACATATATATATATGCAGTATGTATGTACTTAACTCTGATCACTGAAAGAAATAGTATACATGTTATATGATTAGCACTTTTTTTTTTCAACGGTTATTTTTTCTTATAACAGAAAACTCAAGCTGAACTTTTTTTTGTTTGAGAAAGACTCAAAGCTGAACTTTAGTGCTTATAGCAACTTGCACTCTTATAACGAAGATCTGTAAATGAGAAAAATCGATCCTTGTTTTAGTTTACCATAAGAATCATAGTTACTACTCGAAATTTTAAGACTATAGAACCACCATTTTTCAGATAAATAGACTAAAAACTCAGAGATAGTTTCATTTCTATTTAAAAACAGTATATATATAAAGCTTTGATTGGTAATCCATAAAAATGAAATCCAATTATTTTCATTTTCGGACTAAAATCGAATAAGATAGTTAAAACACACACAAATTTCTAAAGGTCAGATAATTCTCAACTAGCTCAAAACTCATTGATCATGCTAGTTTACATGTGTTCTAATTAATTTCCAGATTTAGATGAGCATTGTCGCACATTTTTGTTTAATTTGAATGATCAATGTGGAAATTTCTCATCTTATATATAATACTACAATTTTATTCCTTCATATTTTAGTTTTAATTAAAAAATAACTATTAAAGTAATTCCTCTGAATTATAGAAGCTTTTACTCAAAACTTGTAATCCAAATTAGTAGACGATAGTGACGATAACGAGTTAAGAAATGAAATGTTGAAATAAAGCGTATAGGAGACAAGGAGACATGTCGGCCACAAGAATTAAAGGGTTCATGCTGTTTCGTGAGTGTCACTTGCGCGTGTCCCCTTCATTCATCTTTTATTTCTCTCTTAAGATTTGTCTTCATAATTTAGGTGCACACTTTTAAGTTTTATTGTTCAATTAAAGCCAATATATGTATATACCGTGTATTAAACATTTTTTTCTTTGGGATCATAACTTTATAAGCTCAATAGTTAGATTTACCTATTTCCTTTCGATTATAACAATCTACATATCTACATACTACTTGTTTGACTAAGAGTTGCTACTTAACTATGTGCTGGTATGCACGCAATGCCACAAAACCGGGATTGAACAGAATTTTCCTAAACCGGTCAAACCCATCTTAACATCACTGACCAGTAAAAACAACTACATACAGTACATATCATTCACCGAATCTACACAATAAGCCAAAAGTGTTACTGCACACCAAGTTTCCAGAACTAAGTCAATATGCATATGCTAAACTGAATACATCATCGTGAGCTAGAGAATAGAAGAGAAAGAAAAAGCGAGATTAAGGAGAAGACATCAGCCTCTGAACTCTGTTTAGATGGGGACAAACAAAGTTGGTTAAATTTAATCCGACGATATGTCACAAAATCACTAACCGAGACTTCATATCTTGGATATAACATCAAGACATACAAGAAAGCATATCAAGAAAGTTTTTGTCCAATTCACCACGCGATAGCCTATCAAATACCATCTTCATTGTGGAAGCATCTGCACAGAAACCACACCTCTTCATTTCTTCGATCAGTTCAACCGAAGTGTTTACATCACAACCTCGGAGATGTGCCCTGATGAGTGTGTTGTATGTACCACTGTCTGGCGCATACCCATCCTCTTTCATTTTTCTAAACAGCATGTCTGCTTTAGACAGCGAGCCTTTTTGACAAATTCCCAACATCATCACATTGTATGTTTTGACATCGTGCTTCACTCCTTTGTGAGGTAGACTACTGAATATATCCCATGCTTCATCCACCTTACCAGCATTGCACATCCCGTGAATGATGATATTATAGATACCAATACCGAGATCCATCTTACTCTTCTGCATTTTTTCATATATTTCCAATGCTTTTTCTAGCCCTCCGTTGGCACACAACCCATCCAGCAAAATACAATAAGTTACAATATCAGGTGGCACACCACGAGAAACCATCTCTTGGAAGAGTTCTTTGGCTACGCTAACTTTTCCCAGTTGACAAAACCCTTGGATGAGAGTGTTATAAGTTACCCTGTTGGCAACCAGCCCTCTCAAAGAAATCTCACGGAAAAGTCTCATACCATCGTCAACCCGCTTAGCCTTACAATATCCATTTATGAGAATACTATAAGTCACGATATCAGGATCGCAACCCTTACTAACCATCTGATCGATCATCTGATTGGCCTCGTCTAGGCGGTTCTCCTTGCAAAACCCATCTATCAAAGAACTATATGTAATGGTATCAGGAGATATACCTCTTCTAACCATCTCACTGTACAATTCTTTCGCCTCTAGAAGCTTCCCTTCTTTCACAAAACTATCAATCAATAAATTAAAAGTGATGGCGCCGGGGGTGATTTTCCTCGTGATCATATCCCTCAACAACTGTGCACCATCATTCCATCTACCGGCATGGCAAAAGCCTCCAATGAGAGAATTGTAAGTAAAAACATCTGCTTTGATTCCTTTCATTTCCATTTCGTTGAAAAGGTTGAGTGCATCGTCCACTCTCCCATCTTTGCAGAGACCATCGATAATGATATTATTTGTTACTACTCCGAACTTGATCTTTCTTTCTTTTTCCGTTTTTCTGAGCAAATCCAAAGCCAAGGCAGTGTTCCCCGACTTGCATATTCTGTTTAAAATCGGACCATAGGTAATTTCATCCGGTTGATAACCATTTTCCACCATTCTATCGATTAAATCTACCGCTTCAGTCACTCTACCTTTGAGACAAAGTCCATTGATCAGAGTGTTAAGCGTTATGAGATTGGGTCTGTGTCTCATTTCCACCATTCGATCAACTAGCCCTACAGCCTCGGACACTTTACCCTCGCGACATAGTCCATTTATCAAAGTTGGAAATGTGACTGTGTCAGGCTCATACCCAAGTTTCATGATTTTCCCCAAAACAGAAAAAGCGAAACAAGTTTTACAAGACCTACAAAAACAATTGATCATAATATTCAAAGTGTAGATATTATGTACAATCCCATTCAGTTCCATCTTCTTGCAGAGACCAAACACGAGTTCGTATTGTCTTGTCCTAGCAATGCCACTAAACAATCTACTGAAATCAAAGAGCGTAGGTCGAGGATGAGACCGAATCATTTCCTGAAACAGATCAATTGCATCATCTTTTGGATATCAAAAATCCCACTTCTCAATCTCTCTTTGTAAGAGAGATTTCTATCGCTGAGACCAGAAGAAAAGTCTCGTTGGCAGCAAGACAAGAAGCCATTACGGACACAAGAGAGCAAATCAGTTGTAAGAGTACCTGAACTCAGAATACGAGGTTGAACCAATCTCTGAATGACCAACAACATTTTTGTTTCAATTTACGAAATCTCTGAATGAATTCGCGTCTTCGATTTTTCGGTCAATCGATTCTATCTTCTTCGTCAAAATCGCAAAACCCTTCCTTTACAGTGATGAATCGAAATTTGGAGAATCTCCGGTTTAAGACAATTTGGTTCCAGAAGTGGTACGAGTCCGGTTTGAATAAAACCAGACCCGAGAGATATCTCCGGTACAAAATGTTGCAACTTGCAACACCATTGGCAAAAGTCAGAGTGGAACCACCGGAGTCTAAACTAGTGTTTTGACGAATCTACCCCTTGCGGCAACCATCTAAAAGCGTTCTTGTAACAGAGATGTACCAAAAAACTGCTATATTGTTGCTTCGTGTCTCAGTTGTGACTGATATGTTTCAGAGGTCAAACTGTTATTAAATGACGTGATTTGGCTTAAGTTGAGCAAACTATGGAGATAATGGAATTACTCTGCAAAGTATGATTTTGTGTGTTGTATGTACAATCATTTGGTGCATACCCATCCTCTTTCATTTACAAAATGGTAACTTGGCTACGATGTTCCAAGACTTGTTCAAAAGGATCTAATTTATATCTTATATTCCTAGAAGATTCGTATCCAATAATCCAAATATACACAATCCACGATCAAATACTCTGACCCAAGGAATGAGAAGGATTTTTTTCAGTTGGCAAGTACTCTTTGTAAGTACCAAGGTTATTCGGATACACAATCAATCCACTTGATATGAGGAAAGGGAAAAAAATTGGTAAGAAGAATCATAAATACAAAAAGTTCTTTACAAATGGTATATTTTCTTTAAAAAAAATGGAGAGGAATTCAATATATGGGTAGTAGTGTCTATGTGGACCTCCGCCACCTGGATTCAATTCAGGTTGGTCACCGGGGCTTTCAAATGGTTTCTCCGGGCCCCAAGATCAGTCGGTGAAAGAGGGATGAATGCTGACACCTAGTGCCGATGTTTCCGGTCCTTTGCAGAGGACGAAATAGAGACCCCACTGGTGGGTGTCAGCGATCACCTGAGTTATAAAAAAAATAAATATTATATGGATAGTAAACTAGTAATCCTGGTTGTCTCTAGGTTATATAAAAGAGCATTTTCCGATTAAGTCAAGTCACCAATAAAATATAGGTCTCAATAAAAAATAGAAAAAAACGATCCCTTATTCGGATTCACTCTTTTGATGCATAAGTAACTAGCTGAAATATCAGAGAGCATTCAAGAACATAACAAATATCATTTGTGATAAAAAAAAATGATAGTTTTTGATCCGAAATAAGCTTGTAGCCTTGGAAACACATAAGCTTGAACACGAGATTTCTTTTAACTAGTAGCTTGGTCTTGGTTTTTCTGATTTATATAGGGAAACTACAAAAGGTGGAATCATATATTGATTCCTACATAGCTGGAAATGGGAAGAAGTGAAATAATATGTTTTCTATTTCTATAATTAATAAACTGAAAAAATTGAGACTAGTTACCAAATAATTACCATTGGTTTAGGACTAGTGCTGGAGGAGGAAGGATGTCTAAAAAGAAATCCTATCATACAGTCCGGAATACTGTCGTAAACCTTAAAAGGTTCGGGATAGTTGTGTTACCTCAGCGTGGGCGTACAAAATCTAAAACAAGAAACAAACAAGCCAACTTTATATATTTTGTTAAGACAATATAAAATTTATAGAGAATAGCTTCACCTTAGGAGGCAATTGCTCATCTTTCCAAAGAATCCCCAAGACTTCATAGAGAACACGAGCAGTTTCACAAGAGCTTGTGAGTTTATTATACCTAAAAAGATAGAATAAAAGAACGTAGTTTGACTAAAATGTAACACACACACACATATATATATAGACAGAAGCAAAGGGACAATATATATATATATAAGCAAAGAGAGAAAGGCACAGACTTGTGAATGTCACAGAGACTTGTGGGAGTGAAAACCAGGGATTTGACACATTTCTCGTAAAAGTGTAGCTAGTAACTTTGCATAGCAGGTGCATCACTAGGCACCAATTTCCCGTTTCCATTAGTTTCATCATTCTACACAATTAGTAAAAGGACATGAATGATAAGGTAAGCAAGAAGCGGATGAAAATGTGTACGTGCGTGTACAAGATGATATGCATACCGTTCGAATCCAAAACTCGAGGACAAAGATAACTTTGGGAACACCAACTTTACGTGAAGAGGGTTTTGCCTTGTCAAGGGCAGCAAGACAACCTGATAGATAGAAAGAAGAAGCAATGAGCAACTAGTAGTTATCATCATGTTATGTATAATTCGATTTTGTATCCAACTCACATAGGAAAGCTAGCCGAGTATGAGAGTTGAGATGTAACAGTTTGCCCACACGAAGGATCGCTTGAATCGATCGAAGATTTTATGGCAACCGCTCACTGTCTGGATACATGATTCAACAATGCTTACTTCCTACAGGAATCAGAACAATGAGACAAAGATCATTTACAACCAAATATGCATCAAAATTCATATGATTAAAAAGCATATCAGAATTTCTTATAAACCGTAAGAGAAGACAACGACTTGTGATATCAGACAAAACCCCACAAAGATGTATGTTCAGACAAAACACAAAAATGATTTATCTGCAACAAAACACACAAAAAACATTAACGATGGTTTAGTGTACCTTTAGAAATCTTAAGCAATCTCGTCTTCTATCTGCAACGAAAGTGAAAACTTAGAAACTTTGCAAATCCAATGAGTTAAATTCTGCTACTGCCGAGTTCAATATAACCAAAGCTTCAGAAAATCAAACCCTAAAAGATACGAAACAGGGAAGCAATGGAAACCTAAAATCATACTATGCTTGATATTCTTCTAGAACCGGTTTAATGTACCGGTTCAAATAAAACCGGTTTTCTTTAACCTTCTTTAAGCTTTGAACAGAGTCCAATCCGAGGTCTCTTCACTTGTGAGTCACATTTTAATAACAAGTACAAGTTGTGACTGATGTTTTTCAGGGGGTTAAACTGTGTTATTAAATGACTTGATTTTGGGTTAAGTTGTTATTAGAGCAGAATATGGGATTACCAGAAGAAGCTTTGCACATACTAGTCTCCAAAGTATGATTACACATAAAGTTTCAGAAGTCGTTAATAGTACTAAAGGTTAATACATGAGCATGAATCAGAGACGAAGCAGTATAAAGCAATACTAATCAGGACTTTATCTCTTGCATATAAGATCAGACATTTAAGAAAGCATATCCAAAAAGCTTCTCTCCAATCTACCATCCGATAACATATCGAAAACCATCTTCATTGTAAAAGCATCTGCAGCGAACCCACACCTCTTAATTTCTTCGATCAGTTCAACTGACTTAATTACGTCCCTAACTCGGAGATGTGCTCGGATTAGAGTGTTGTATGTACAATCATCTGGTGCATACCCATCCTCTTTCATTTTTCTAAACAACATGTCCGCTTCAGACAGTGAGCCTTTCTTACATAATCCTAATATCATTATGTTGTATGTTTTGACATCAGGCTTCACTCCTTTTAGGGGGAGGCTACAAAATAGATCCCATGCTTCATCCACCTTACCAGCATTGCACATCCCGTGAATGATGATACTGTAGATACCAATATCAAGATCCATCTTACTCTTCTGCATTTTTTCAAGTATTTCCAATGCTCTTTTTACTTCTCCATTGTCACACAAACCATCCAGCAAAATACCATAAGTTACAATATCAGGTGGCAAACCACGAGAAACCATCTCTTGGAAAAGTTCTTGGGCAACCTTAAGTTTTCCCGATTGAAAAAACCCTTGGATGAGAGTACTGTAAGTGACTGTATCTGCAACCAGTTCACTATGAGAAATCTTACAGAAAAGTCTCATACCATCATCAACCCGCTTGGCCTTACAATATCCGTTTATAAGGGTACTATACCATCTATCAAAGAACTGTATGTAATGGTATCAGGAGTTATACCTCTTGTAATCATCTCATTGTACAATTCTTTAGCCTCTAGAAGCTTTCCTTCTTTCACAAAACAATCAATCAATGCGTTGAATGTGACGATGTCGGGGGTGATTTTCCTTGTGATCATATCCCTCAGCAGTTGTGCACCATCATTCCATCTATCGGCGTTACAAAATCCTCCTATGAGACAGCTGTAGGTAATGACATTTGCTTTGATCCCTTTCATTTCCATTTCATTGAAAAGGTTGAGTGCATCGTCAAATCTCCCGTCTTTGCAAAGACTATCAATGATGATACTGTATGTTACTACTCCGAGCATTTTCCATCTTTCTGAGAATATCCAAGGCCAGGGAAGTTTTCCGGGACTTGCACATTATATGTAAAACCGGCCCGTAGGTAACTGAATCCGGTTGGCAGCCATTTTTCCACCATTCGATCAATCAAAACAATTTCTTCAGACACTTTACCTTTGAGACAGAGTCCGTTGATCAGAGTGTTAAGTGTTATGAGATCGGGTGTATTTCCCACTTCAACCATCCGATCAACTAGGGCAACAGCTTCAGAAACTCTACCTTCTAGACATAATCCATTTATCAAAGTTGAAAACGTGGTTGTGTCAGGCTCGCACCCAAGTTTCATGATCTTTCCCATAACTGAAAAAGCAAAACCGAGTTTTCGGCGCCGGCACAAGCAATTGATCATGCGCAATCCCCTGAAATTCCATTTGGTGGGAGAGAGCTAACACAAGATCATACTGTTTTGTTTTAGCAACTAAACTAAACAGTCTACTGAAATCTATGATACTAGGAATAGGACGGGACCGAAGCATTTCTTGAAACAGAGCAATAGCATCATCTTTCTTGATATCAACAATCCCATCTCTCAATCTCTCTCTTTGTAAGAGAGATTTCGATCGCTGAGACCAGAAGAAAAGTCTCGTTCGCAGCAAGACAAGAAGCCATTACGGACACTAGAGAGTAAATGAGTGGTAAGAGTACCTGGACTCAGGATACGAGGCTGAACCAGTCTCTGAATGACCAACAACATTTTTGTTTCAATCTACGAAGATTTGTAAAACCCTCCATTGACAGTGACGATACTTTATTCTGTAATCTCGGTACGAGTCCGGTTTTCACAAAACCAGACCGGGTGATATATCCGGTACAAAATGTTGTACCGTTTGGGCAATGATTTGACGAATCTACTACCCACGAATTCAGAGGTCTCTTCTCCGTCTAAAGAGTTCTTGCAACTTTAGCCAATCACTAGATGTACCAAAAACTTCTAGTGATTGGCTAATGTTGTTCAAGCTTCGTATCTCAAAGCACACAGTGTTCTCTTGTAAAATCCACCGTTATCTTGAAAGCCATTTCATTTCATCAACCTTTATCTTGTGCAGCTCTGTCTTGAAGAAATATTCACGAGGCGGAACCCAATGTAGAAGAACTATTCTGCGGAGGTACTTCAATCCCGTGTGACCCGATCAAGCTCTGTCGGAGAATGTCAGGAGATGCTTGAAACGAGAGGATTGAGAAAGAAGTTCGCCATTGGATTTGATTTGGCTTAACTTGTTAAAAGAGTAAACACATGGTGTGGATGAGATGTGTCAAGAAATCGGGTAAAAATAACAATCCAGTGACCATTTGAATCCAAAGTACATAAAGTTTCAGAAGTCGTGAATATGCATATACTAACCTTAATACATCAACATGAATCAGAGACGAAGAGAGGAAGCTGTATAAAGCAACACTACCCGGAGTGACATTTAAGAAAGCATATCCAAAAAGCTTTTCTCCAATCTACCATCCGATAGCATATCAAAAACCATCTTCATAGTCGAAGCATCTGCACAGAACCCACACCTCTTCATTTCTTCAATCAGTTTAACTGAAGTTATTACGTCCCTACCTCGGAGATGTGCTCGGATTAGTGTGTTGTATGTACAATCACTTGGTGCATACCCATCCTCTTTCATTTTTCTAAACATCATGTCCGCTTCAGACAGCGTACCTTTCCTACATAATCCTGATATCATTATGTTGTATGCCTTAACATCGGGCTTCACTCCTCTAGGAGTTAGACTACTGAAAATATCCCATGCTTCATCCACCTTACCAGCATTGCACATCCCGTGAATGATGATACTGTATATACCAATATCAAGATTCACGTTACTCTTTTGCATGTTTTCAAATATTTCCAATGCATTTTTTAATTCTCCATTGTCACACAACCCATCGAGCAAGATTTTGTAGGTCACAATACTAGGACGAACACCTTGAGAAACCATCTCTTGGAAGAATTCTTTGGCAACATTAAGTTTTCCCGATTGACAAAACCCTTGGATGAGAGTGCTATAAGTAACTGTATTAGCAACCAGTCCACTCAGAGACATTTTCTGGAAGAGTTTAAGACCATCGTCAACCCGCTTAGCCTTGCAGTATCCATCTATAAGGATACTATAAGTCACGATATCAGGATTGCATCCTTTGCTAACCATCAGATCCAGCATCTTATTGGCCTCATCTAAGCGGTTCTCCTTGCAAAACCCATCTATCAAAGAACTATATGTAATGGTATCATGAGTTATACCTCTTTTAGTCATCTCATTGTACAATTCTTTGGCCTCTAGAAGCTTGCCCTCTTTTACAAAACTACCAATCAATGCGTTGAATGTGACGATGTCGGGGGTGATTTTCCTTGTGATCATATCCCGCAGCAACTGTGCACCATCATCCCATCTACCATCGTTACAAAAGCTTCCGATGAGAGTGTTGTAGGTAATGACATCTGCTTGGATCCCTTTCATTTCCATTTCATTGAAAAGTTTGAGTGCATCGTCCACTCTCCCATCTTTGCAGAGACCATCGATAACAATATTGTATGTTACTACTCCGAACTTGATATTTCCTTTTTCCATCTTTCTGAACAAATCCAAGGCCAGGGAAGTTTTCCCGGACTTGCACATTATACGTAAAACCGGTCCATAGGTAACTTCATCAGGCTGACAGCCATTTTCCACCATTCGATCTATTAAACCCATTGCTTCAAACACTTTACCCTTGAGACATAGTCCATTGATCAGAGTGCTAAGCGTAATGAGATTGGGTTTATGTCTCATTTCTACCATTCGATCAACTAATTCCACAGCTTCAGAAACTCTACCTAGTAGACATAATCCGTTCATCAAAGTCGAAAATGTGATTCCGTCAGGCTCATACCCAAGTTTCACAATCTTTCCCATAACTGAAAAAGCAAAACCGAGTTTCCGGCACCTGCAGAAACAATTGATCATAATATTAAGAGTGTAGAGGCCATGCGCAATCCCCGCCAATTCCATCTGCTTGGAGAGACCTAACACGAGATCATACTGTTTTGTTTTCGCAATGCCACTAAACAATCTACTGAAATCAATGAGCGTAGGTCGAGGACGATACCGAAGCATTTCTTGAAACAGAGCAATAGCATCATCTTTCTTAATATCAACAAGCCCACTTCTCAATCTCTCTCTATAAGAGATTTCCCCATTACTGCGACTAGAAAAGACTCGTTCAGACAAGAACAAACCATTTCTCAGAAAACCTGTCTCGAGACGACGTATCCGAACCAATCCCCGCATGACCCAAGTTGAGAATTTGAAAGCTTTGTAATATCAACTGAAGTAGCGTCTTCAATTTTGTGTTGATTAACTTTCCACAGGCACCACCAATGTCTGCACTGTACATTACACCCATTTCACACACAGCAAAAAGAAAAAAAAGATTCAAGCTTTTATGACTTTTAATTCGAATATTTTGCACACAAAGACAAAAACCCATCAACGATTTTTGTGTACCTCTAGAATTCTTCAACAATCTCGTCTTCTCTCTGCAACGGAAGTGAAAACTTAAAACCTTCAAAATCTGAATGAGTGAGTTTCTGGCTTCTATTCACTGGTGAACCAAAAATTTCTGCGGAATTCGCCAACAAAATTAAAGAGGGAAACTACAAAAGGCTACAGAAAATCAAACCCAAGAAGATGCAAACACATACGGAATTGAAAACCTAAATTCTTCAGACTGCTTGATATGCTTCTAGAACCGGTTTACTTCACCGGTTCAAACACAAAAGGTTTTCTATAAACCTTTAACTTCTGTTTCAGTCGGTGGTGTTTGACAAAATGATGTATTGTATTTTCCTTCCTTTAAAATTAAGAATCTTCGGTTTCAAATTCAATTGCGGTGTTTCCGATATGCAAATAAATATAAATGTTGGAACTTTTTTGGGTTTACAATTTTTTTTAACATAAAAGAAATGAAACTAGAAAAAATGAGATAGTTGGGAAAAATGTAAAAATTAGAAAAATAGATTGGATCTTTCAAAATTATTGAAATATTCTATTTTTGTTTAGATGTTTAGGGTTAAAGATTTAGTTCTAAAAAGGTTTATGTTTTTTTTCTTTGTTTTAAAATTAAGATTTTAGATTAGTTTATTATTTTTCTAATTTTATTTTGTAATTTACAAAACTAATCATTAATTTGCTAATTTTGATAGAAAACTGAAGATATTTTCATAACCCTAAAAAAGTAAAAGTTACATGGAATTCAAGAATAATTTACGGGCTTTAACAATTGAAAATAGAGGCGGTGACGTGATATGACGTGATAACTAATTGTAAAATTGATGATCATAAGTTAAAACAATGCAGCGAGTTCAATTGTATTATTTTTCCAGGCTATGGTTTTAATATTTTTCGATCATTCTCTTATATTGGAAATTTGTATATCTCATCAACTGTTTTTTTTTTTTTTTCGCGCCTCCGTCAACTTTTTTTTTTTTTTTAAACGATAATCAACACCAAAATAAAAGGAACCCTTCAATATGATATGCAAGTAATTCAACTATTTTTTATATACTTTACATGCCCTTGTCTTGAATCAAAATTCACGGGGTTAATATGCTTAATTATGCTTATATATGATTATATCTTAAATATCAACTAGTAACAAAAGACGATATTATATGCTATACAATATAAACTATAGCTTCTATTTTTTCTCTCAATTATTACTACAAGAATAACCCTCAACAAAAGCCAACACACTTTAGACAACCCCTAACGAGAAAGTGCAAGAGAATAACAATAGTGTGTTGACAAAAGATTAGTGAAATAACCCTTTCATATTTAAATATTAATCTCTCACTAAACCCTAACTATTTTA